TTAACAAGTTGTAACGTGGTATTTAGATTAAAGACATACAAGTTATTTTTGTACCCACATTATCAACTTTTGTGTGTAGCGTGATACATTTTCCCGCGGGCAGAAAATTAAATTTCTAAATCGGTGAGACATACAGGGTGTCCAAAATGTAAAAGTAAAAAATGACTCAGACATACGTTGGGTATTGTAATTCATATTATGGCTTAAAATTAACATTAGTAACGGTTGACTTACTAACTGTCTTAACCGAAGCGTGAAATTAAAAAAAAAAAATGTCTTCGTACTTGTTAAATTTTTTTTTTTTTTTTTTTACAAGAGCATAGCATCAAATGAAAAATAGTAAAGTTTCTATAACATTCATTTCCTTTTTTTTTACTGCATTACAATAATATTTTTTTCTACGGTGATTATCTATTATATGCATCATGATAAGGGGGGGGTGGGAGGAAACAATTTACCGCCTTGCTCAGTTGTTTACCCTAGCAGTGTAAGAACGCGACAATTTTAATACGATCGAAATGTATAACGGTCAGGGGATTATTTTATAGTGTAGAATTAAGTTGTTGATTAAAAAACCCCCCCCCCCCCACGCACAAATAGGGATCAATCAACCGATTATCTTCAACCGGAGTGTTAGTCAAAATCCAGGATTATATAAGTACCCTGCCAAGAAAAAATCGAAAAAAATATTATTTGAATGTCGGTAGGCATCGAACCTAGGACCTCTGGGAGCATAACGGGGTGTGAATGGTCTAGCACGCTCGGCCATTGCAACTTTAGCTGTGAAAAAAAAAATCAAGTCCTTAAGCAACCATGTTTAACGAGAAGTAAACAAACGTGATATGTGAGCCCTGTAGAATTCATAAACACTCGCGTTGTAATTGAAAATTCAGAAAATACGTAAAAGCGAAGGAATTCTCAGCCAAGTTAAATGAATATACGTATAATACAAGGTAACGATGGCCTTTTCTTTGTGTGTGTGTGTGTGTGTCGTAATTATAAAATCACTAGTTTTTTTTTAAATTAGTTCAATTAAATGAAAATAATTAATTTTATGATACACCGAAACTATAACGCATTGTATAAAAATATTTGAATGTACGCTGAAAAATTTTAAAATAAAAATATACAAGTATCGTGGTTTTAGAAGCATACAATACCTAAGATACGACTACACATTCCTCTTGGTTGACGTAATGCAGCTGAACTCATCTTCGTCAGCTTATTAATACACGCAGAACGAAAGTGAAAATTACAAAGCACACCGATGAATAAAGATTTGTTTTTTCAAGGAAGAGAAAAAAAAACAACATTTGTTTGCTCTATACTTACTTGCATAAATCGAGTGAATGCATGCAAATTTCAATGTATGAAAAAAATAAATAAATTATGGTAGATCTGTTCACACGTGCTGTGCATTATAACTTTCAGCACACTTTCGTTCACGCTCGCATATTGTATTATATACTTATCGCTGTTCATGAAGGATTTTGTAAAAAAAAAATTTCATTCCATAAAAGTATCAACCAAAACTTATATCAAACTCTTTCGAGTCGCATAATATAACTATTCTCAACCAATGGATTTAGAGAAAAACAAAAAAATAACAATACACCCACATTCTTTCAATACCAATAGGTACACATATGTTCAACTGCAGCAACCAACCCGATTACTGCAGAGCTCATCATTGAAAACAAAAATCAGCCATTACCCGCGCGCGCGTATAGCCCACCCAGGCTTCCGGTCTCGCAAAAATTTCAACAACGCGGAGAGTCGGGAAAAAAATTATCACTCCCAAGGGTAGCCACTGCCAATTATTTTTATTCCCAAGGCCGGCTGACAGTCCATCTTTTTCCACTATTTGAGAGCCTCGCGATATATTGTATATACCAAAGGAAAAGAAAAAAAGAAAAAAAAAAAAAAAAAAATGCTAGCGCACGCGAGCTGCCACGAACTCCCCTATTCCTTTATCTCCCCGTTCCCTTTTGTACTTTGCGGCATTGTGCCCCCAAAGCCCTTCATTTACCTCCGTCCTCTTGGGCGCGTACAGCCGCAAAGTGAAAACTGATATAAAAAACAGAGCTTTGCGAAAATCCGTCTGCAGCCAGCTTTGTGCTTCGTGGCCTAGAAAGAGAGTGAATAATGTCTGGCTCTAATAATAACAGAGCAGTGAAGGAAGCTATATGCAAGCTCTCGGTCGTCGTCTCCGGGAAGTTTGGCTAGAAATTCCATACCGATCTCACATTTTTTCGACATTTTTTTATATCTTTCACATTTACACTATCTGGACAAAAAAAGAAGAAACAACATCTTTTTATCTTTTACATTCTTCTCGAAAAATAAAAAATAAAAACCAAAAACTACACCTGCCAACGTTAGGTCTGCTACTACGTGAAACGATACAATCGTCCCTAATCGATGCGAACGCAGCAGCAGCGCGTATTATATATGTACAGGTAGCACTTTTACGAGGGTCTCCCTTTGGTCGTTCCCTCTTTCTTCTTACTTATATATGTATACCTACTACACACGGTATCCGTGGGACGGCCAAATTTCATTATTGTGGAGTACGCTATACTTACTTTTGTGTAAGTATATACAAGTGCTGATGTTTTGTGACCGACATTTGTGTACGTAAGAGAACCAGCGCACGCGTGACGCGTCGTCGCCATGCAGCCGGGAGAGTCACACCCACGCGTTTTGCTCGACGCTTCCCGTTACCCATCGAAAAGAGAAGAGTGAAAACAACGCCTCTATAGGGGGCCCACGAGGTGCATTACGATTGTCCCGAATGTAGCTACTGTTGCCGATTTTTGGAAAATCGGCACCAGAACTCCAAATGACTAAAACGCACGTGAAAAAAAAAAAAAAAAAAAACAACCACCGCTTCCAATCGAGCGGGACAAAAAGCCTTCGATCGACTCAGCCAGTCGGTCTAAATTGCCTGAATGAATAGATCCTTGATCGGCAACGAGTGTAGTATACTAGGCATATGTACTTGGATCGCATCGAGTTTCCCCCCTGTATGTTAAACCGCTCCGGAAAAAATAAAATGAAGAATCATTACACGGTAAACGCGCGATTTGTTTGCTCAACACAACCGTTGTACACACGCGAAACAAATTAATGAAAATAAAGAGCCAACGATCGTCGATCAGCCATCACGCGTCCTTAATGCATTCAAGCTCATCGAACAATGGGTTGGCAAAAAAAAAAAAAAAAAAAAAAAGAAGTTCTCTGTAAAGAAAAAAAAAAGGGAATTTGCCGGCAATTAGACCCACACACGTTAACGCGTACTATAGGCATACATTATTGTTATTATTACATGGGAGTAGCGTCGTCGGGCTGGCGGGCGTCGATTCTCTTTTGCCGCGCGGATATCCGGAGAGGAGAGAGAACCGCTGCGCACACGATGCGTAAGTATATGTATACGTGTGCGTGCTCGTGAAAAAAAAAAAAAAAAAAAAAATCGATGGCGCGTGGAAAGCCGAGCGGACCAGAAAGCCTAGACTGTGAGTATGGTACTTACACACACGCACGCAAAAACGTTACAGCGTGTCCGGTTACCGTATACGTATATTAGGTATGGACACCTAATGCGTCCAAGAATTGTGTGTATGTTGGTCCGGGCTTTCTTCTTCTCACCACGGAATTCACCCACGTACCTATCGCAGACGCAGACGATCTGCTCTCTAAACACGAGTATTAGCGCTCCGTTTGTACACATATATTTTTTACGCGCTAGATATCTTCGTACTTACACATAAGTATGCCTACACATTTTAACTGGCTGAAGAATATGAATTAAAATCTTCTTTTTTTTTTCCCCCTCGTAAGTTTTTATCAAGACATGCAACGCTTGAGAGATGACGGAAGGAGAATAACGTAATCGTGCTGTCCCTATATGTCGGGTGGTGTTTTTTTGTTTATACTTGCAGTTGAAACAACCGTAGTTTAATTAATTGAATCTCTACCTGAATGGAATAATTGTTTATGACAATTATACGCGTAGTTTTCCATCTCTGGACAGTACACATAATTGATACCCATCCATAACACACACGTAGATATTTTACACTTGTTGGACATATACTTTTACAGTAAACCTATATAACAGTACACGTGAATAGACGTGACTGACGCGTTTGTTACGCTCGACGGCTGATCGTACAAGTACATTGTATAATACGGAGGAGACAAGAGAGGCGAGCAGCATCAGCCAAACCTGCGGGGCAGGGCCGATTTAGCCTCGTCACTATGACGTTCTTGCCGAGCCTGATGTGTGTTGGTTACCGCCACTGTTTTCAATCGCGCTAATTGAACGCTTGAGAGCCGTTCCGTTATACACCTATACGATGTGCATTGTGTGCACAAGTAGGTACATGGCACATATCGGTGCGATGGTGCTGTGGTATCGTTACATTTTTGGATCTATATTCCAAAGAGATTTTATCATTGAATTTGCCCTTAGAGGTGATACTTACTATCATTTTCAACCTTACAACTGTGCAATGAGACATAAGGTGTTGATAAATTCATCATCATCATGCGGTGTACCGCCGACAAACAAAATATATACTGCACGATTGTCTTGATTGAAAACGACTTGTATTGTTCTTGAATTACGTATATTACACGCACATCCATATACATGCAAAGCCACGCGGGCTGGCGATGAAAGAAGCTGTATCGAGTTTCGTGGCGTTGTTCTATCGATCATCACTTTTAACAGAGTATGTCAATATGTCGTCATTTGAGATTTTTCACGCCCGTCGAAGTAGGTCGTGCTTTTGAAGTTTGTATACGAGTTTATACTTGATGGGGGTTGTAAAAATAAAAGAAGCGACGCATAGACGTGCTTGCAAGCTGAGGTGCACAATGGTGCCAGATAGATAGACCCACGAGTCCCAAACGAGACGAAATAACATTGCATGACATAATGTATTATATTGAAAGATGCTGTGAAACTGACGAAATCGCGCGGTCGATTGTTGCAGGCCGAGTCCGAGGTCGCCGCCCTCAACCGGCGTATCCAGCTGCTGGAGGAGGATCTCGAGAGGTCCGAGGAGCGCCTGGCGACGGCCACCGCCAAGCTCGCCGAGGCCTCGCAGGCCGCCGACGAGAGCGAACGGTAAGGAGACCCTTACATTTTTGTTCCTAGCTCTTTCACCGAGGATCTCTTTTTTTATGCGGGATAAAAGCTCTGGAGCTTGCGGTGGAGCTTTAATTTTATTCATCGATACGGGGAACCGATGACGATCGTAGATTTGGTAAGGGCGCGTGACATCACCCAAAGCTCCAAAGCTCTGATCCTTACGGTGATTCTGAGAAGTGCCTTATCGTTGTTAACTGCTCGATGTTGAATATTCGAGACTCCCGAGCGTAATATCTACGAGACGCGATGATACCTACTAACTTGTTTAAAGCTTGGTTTTTTTTTTTTTTTTTTCCTGTCTGTAGTCATCGAAACGTGACTCGCGATATTTATTCAAAATATTAGTCCTTGAATCATCGCTGAATCATTTGGAGTTCGATTGCGTATGTCCACGTAACGGTACGTGTAGTCGAAAATCGTTGAGGAACAAAAGTAAAATCGGTACCTCAGAATCATCAGAATGAACAATGTAAATCCAAGTGTGCCATCATTAAAATTTATACGTGTTTACCAATGCCATCGTAACAAGGGTACTTGGAATTTTACAAGCAATCTAAATAATCTGTAATCAATCGTTTTAACTTTTTTTCACAAATCCAAAAGTATTGAACAAAAATAATTAACGTAGGACAGCTACGAGTGATTGAACGTACAAACACTCACTAACGAGTGCATGTGGACTCTGTAATAAAAATGTTTGACACTCTACGGCATTTTTGTGTTGATTTTTGTAGAAATGATTTATTCGATTTGTCATAGCTGGTATTAGACTTGATTATACACTTCAAATCGTGCACTGAATTTCATTTTATAAAAGCAGAAATTACTGCAACTACACGCTCTCAAGTGTACTTAAACATACTTGGATTTACAGTGAAATTACATCTTATCGAAGAGGAAACCATAGACATGCCAGGCGTCAAGCAAATTGCTCTTGTCTTTTATCCAAAGCTCAATTATTGTATCAAGTATACCTCCAACTTTCTATTCGATATCATAACTTGAAGCTTAAACTTTGTATGGTTTCTTCGCTACAAGTATATAAGTATATAAGTAGTCATGCACATCTTTGTATTCTGATATCATGATCGAATACCTGCATATTTTTACCATTCGGATAATTGTTTAGTCCCGCTGAATTTTAGTCGTGTGGAATGCGATAATTTTTTATTATTCATGGATATTTAACAATAGTTTTACATGTTTATGCATTAAAATGATTTATAAAAAAATTTACAAGTAAATTATTTTTTTGTGTCGAAGATGCGAATGACTCTTTCTATGAAACACGATGTATTCTGGAAATTGTTTTTCTTTTTTTACAGTACTTATTAATAAGGTGGAAAAACAATTTCTGAATCATCAAATATTTTCTTCCTTCGCGTATTACCATCAGTTTTTTTTTCCTTTTCGTTTCATATACATTCTCCAATAAATATTTTACAGTCATAGACAAGCGCAATTATCTCTTCCTGAAAGTCGTGTTTCCTGTATATTCCTATCTTACAAGATAGTGACGAAACTATCGCTTCAAATGTCGAAAGACTATTTTTTTCTAATCACTCGTGTCACCATTTATTATCAATGTAACAAAACCATCTTTAAAATCACGAAAATGCTCTACTTTTGACATATTTTTTAAGATGTTTGAAAAAACATCACTTTTTTATTACCTCCAATCATCTTATCGTTTGAATTCTCAAATCACAAAAAAAAACCAATCAATCAATGTCTTACATCGTTTCTAATGTAAAAATAACAATTGTGTGTGTTTTTGTTTTCCCTACAAAAAAAAAAAAAATCCGTACACCGCAAAATGTAGGATACGCAAGACTCTTGAAAACCGCACAAACATGGAGGACGAGCGGGTGGCGCTTCTGGAGCAGCAACTAGCGCAAGCCAAACTCATTGCCGAGGAAGCTGACAAAAAATACGAAGAGGTGGGTTTAATCGACGGCAAAAGCTACAATGCACCACTACGAACACGACCACACAAACATATACCCATATTGTATAAGGTCCCCCCCCCCTCATGTTTTATCGTAGGTGGTCGAGTGATTTGTTAATAAAACACATATTGGAGTAGCTAGATGCGGCAGCGATACAGATGAAATTTATTAAATTCACGGAGCCAAAAGAATATGCGTAACGAATCGCTCGACAACTGATACGACAATTAACGATGATTATCCCACAGCGATTTAGGCGCAGATATGACCCAAAGAAGCGGCAGCAGAGCTGATAAGGAACCCAAAGATGGAGAAATGGAGCAAAAAAAAAATGTCGCCCTTTTAATTAATAGTGAACAAAAAACAAAAAAAGTGTATTAATCATTGTATTTTATCACGATAAAGCGCACGGAAGATCCTCGAGAACCGCAGCTTGGCTGACGAGGAGCGCATGGACGCCCTGGAGAATCAGTTGAAGGAGGCTCGTTTCCTCGCCGAGGAGGCGGACAAGAAATACGATGAGGTTTGCGAACCAACAGCTGACGCGGTGGCTGCTACCGCTGCTGTTGTCGTTGTTGACGCTGCTTGTGCTACCGATGATGCTAAAAACAGTGGTGTTGTTGTTCTTGTTGTGAAAGAGAATGATCATGATGATGTTGTCAATAACAACGGCATATCCTAGTTCATGAATATGCGCTCGCTGGGATAAATACGCGAGAAATTGTTTTGGGTGACATCCATATCAAAAGATAGAAAAAAAAAAAAAATTTAAGCGCAATAAGAAATCAAACAAGTGCCTAACAAAGCGAGTTGTGGGAGTTCTTCCAGAGTGTTTGTGCCGGGAGGAGAAAAGGTTTTGTTGACCACCTCCTTCCTTGTGGTTCACGTTTTTTTTTCTTTCTGTTTTTTGCTCGTTTTTTGGTTTATTAATGTTATCTACTAGGGTTTGGTTTCGTAACCCTAGACTGTACGAGTTAACTGTTTGGGAATTTTAGTGCATAACGTTATTTGTTCATAGTAGAATACGTATATTTTTATGGTTTTTTTTTTCGATGTTTTCGGGCACGGGTGGAAATTAAATTTCTACCCTGGCAGCTTTAGTTTTACCTGTTGACGGGGTTTTGACAAGTGGTTCTCTTCAGTGTGTACATAAGAAAAGTTTTGTACACGTGGAAAGTTGTTGTTGGCTGTTTTTCGCCTATACACTCGTCGCTCAGTGATCGAGGGGCGATCGGAGTGTGCAGTTTTTAAAAGTGTTAGTGCTCGCAAAAGTTTACGTGTACATAATGTACAATGTAATATACGCGTGGTGTATTAAAATGGTTAGGAGGAAAAAAAACCATTGTGATAAAAAAAGAAAAATATTTGTTCGGGGACTTTTTATTTTTTATAATCAGGATGTAACGATATGGTGCTTTAAATTTATGTGGTAATTTGGGGAAGGTTATACTACTTGTTGATGCCAAAAGCAAATTTGTTCGATTTACCGTTACTGTTGTGATTACATTGGTTTTGATCTGTCGTCGACGCTGAGACTTTACGTTACTGATTTGTTCGAAATAACTGATGCTTGTGCGCGAACTTTTAATTTATTTAATTTTTTTTTCTCACCTGCCAAATTCTGATTTCAACTTGGCTGATTCGATGGTCGGTTGCTTTGGGGCCATGAAAATTGAGGCAAGTTTTTATGTTTGTTCTACTCAAAATACGTTTTTGCTCGGATTATCTTTGCAAATTGAACTATTCGTTAAAATCAATATAATCCATACTCTTTGCACGATTATATTGACAAGCAAAGATCATCCGCTACCAAACACAACAAAAATGCTGAGGGAATGTAATGAGATAAGGTATTATTTTTATTATTTTCTGCTAAACAATATTCATTTTAGTAAACAGTTATGATGTCATACCTGTAATACTTCATTACCATGTAAGGTTTGCAATAACAGCTATACAGTTGTTCGGTACAAAAATGATCCGAGTTAATATGATTCCGTAACGAAACGCTAATGATCTTTATTTTCCAAAGTCAATGCTGTTTTGTAGAAAATAATAAAAAAAAACACCGTTTTGCCGGTCAGTGTTCCAAATCTCCTCAACCGAACCCTCAAACCCAGCTCGAGGTGCTTCCAAACCTCATGAATATACAGCTCGCGCACGTCCTCACTCTGTTGTTCTTTATTTTCGTACTTGCTCCTGACGCGTTCGCTTACGGATTCACAAATGGGAATCTCGCGGTTAACCGTGTATTATACGCATCAGGGGGCACCTGTACATACATGGCAGTACACGTGTATACTGTGTGACCGCCAGGAGTCTTTGAGGGACTTACACTATGGCTATAGCTCTGCGCGCTCGACGCATACGGAACGAGAGTTTGTCACCGGAATTTTCGAAACGGTGTTCTGTGTCTCGGTTTTTTTTTTCGCCCCTCTTGGCTTTGGTGCCTACTTACGCGGAAGAAAGGAGGTATAAGATACCAGTTAGAGCACGTTGAGCATTTTGTATTTGGATGAACTGAAAAATTTCGTACGTACAAGGCATTGCGTTTTCCTGAATTACGGTGACATGCTCTTTTTCAATTGTGTACATTACATGTTATGGAATGACAATTAAATCCAGGTGGGTTTTTGTGAACACGTCCAGCGAGTGTACGTTGTCCCGTCATGGTGTGAAGAGCCCCAAAGAAACGATTCCAATTGGATCGTTGAGTTTTTGTTTTCCTCGTAATTATTATGTGCTTCCTTAACACAGAAAAACATCCCGCAGAGTTGGAATAATGTATAGTCAAGTGTTACAATTGGCGCTTGCTGTTTCTGTTTTCAACTAACTGCTCTGGACACGAGTGTATGCCGTAACCTGACATGGAAGCCAAAATCGTTAACCTGTTTCTTGTTTGTTTTTTTTTTTTTTTTCTTTCATTTTTGTCTTACAAGATTTCCCTAATCAACTAACAAAATTACTTTCAGCAGACTGTCGTTTTAGTTTTGTGACTGTTTTTTTTTTTTTTTTCTAATCCATGAGTGCCCTAATTATGTGAATTTTAGATTTAGGGATTGCAATTTTTACCGCAATTGACGAAATTTTTATAAATAAAGTGTTTACGAGCAAAAATTGCAATCTCAAATGATCAAAGGTAAACGAGTCCTATTCGTGAATAAAAATTCTTTATTGAAGCATCAGTACACTCGGAATATTTTCTCTGACCTGGTATATTGCCAAAGAAAACTTCAGTGGACTCGTTTATTTTATCAACTAAAAGAAAACTTACTGTAAATATATATAAGTAAAAAAAAAGAAAAGAAAAAAAGAAATTCACGCCAAAGAGCGCAGTTCGAGATCGAATGAATCTTGTGACACTTATACGTCCTTTAAACGCAGGTTGCCCGTAAATTGGCCATGGTCGAAGCCGATTTGGAGCGTGCAGAAGAACGTGCCGAGGCTGGCGAGTCGTAAGCACTTACACACTCACTCTTGGTTCTTTCTCGTACCTATGTACCCTTTTTTTTTTTTTTGTTCTCTTCTATATTTTTCTCCCACTCGAAAAGTTGGAGGAAGCATCTCCTCTCCCCCCCTCTATGCCTCTTCTGTGCATCGTACGTGTTATATATGTATCTGTGTGTTTGGATTTGTTGCTGCTGCATCAGGCACCGTTTAGCGCACCAGCTTATAGTAATAGAAGACAACCGATTTTGTTTCTTATTTTATTATTTTTTTTAAAGTTTTTTATCAATGAACACACTAATACTGCCTTTTTTATTCACACATAGTATGAGTTGGACGAGTGACTAAGAGGAACGAAGCTGTGTCGGTTTTGGCATTTGGTTTTGTCATTGACGGCTATGTACCGATTGTTTGGAAATGTTTTTTTACTCACCAATGTCCCTGAGTCAAAATATTAATAGTCGACTAAAACGTCACTAAGTTATCCTATGACGCCCTGCCAAAACCGATGCGAGCATCGTCAGAGCTTTTATGTGCCCTAATTCGTACAGCCACAAGGACACCAGAGAAGGAAGCAGTTGTTCCCGAGATCCAGCAACCAAATTTTTTTTTCTAGCGCTCCCAATACACAGCATGTGCATTTTATTTTTTCGACACCTGCAGCCCTACTTTAATGTTCTTTTTTTTTTATTGCCCAAATAATGATGATAATAATTAATACACACACGTAATTTGTTTTTCCCTTTAATGATAACCATTGCAAGCTTTGTAATTGGCATGTTTGTTTGTTTGTTTGTTTCCTTTTTTTTTTTAATTTTTTTTTTTACATTGCGTTGGCATATCTTAGGCCGCCAGAAAGCTAGTCATGATGGAACAGGACCTCGAACGCGCCGAGGTAAAGGCCGAGATGTCAGAGACGTAAGTTTTCCATTTTGCACTTATTGTTGATTCACCAGCTCTCGCTGTGCACCCTATCTGCGTCTTTTATTCTACTTCTTATTTTTTTATTTCTTTTATTCTACCTACTCTTCTCGCATGCACAACGTCCTCAGGCTTCCTTCAATGGTACAAATAGATTTCCCTCCGTAAAATCTAAAAAGTTATTTCAGGCCTCACGCACACACTTGATGAGAAATTTTCATTGACAGACGGTCGAGTGGTTTGTTGGTGTAAAAAACCATCGTCACTTTGTCTTATCGATCGATTATATTTTTCTTTCTTATCTTAAACCGGTTACGCGGTATAAATAAATTGTGCGCATGTTCGAGGAATCTTTTTGCGTTACAAATTCATTTTTAAATTTAGACCACCGGTAGACCATACAATCGTTGAATAAGGAAGATCCGTCGTTTAGCAGGTCAGCCCGTCGCTGAATCGAGATCGAGCCGATCATCGATAAAAATACGCTGAAATCGGCCGACTGTAGCGGAGAGAAAAGACCGGCGGGGTGGGGAGGAGTCTTTAGAGAATCCAGAGAGAACGGCAGCGCGCGTGTACTGTACACATGGTATTACATAAATATATAGTTGAGAGAGGAAAAAAAGGTTTGCGCGCGACTATTACGTGCGGAACGCCGTGCGTCTGAATAATCGAGGATGAGTCATGTGGTACATATGGCGTGTAATAATATACGTCGCGCTTGCAAGTGTGTGCGTGGCGTCGATTTAGCGATTATACTCGAGTCGTGCCTCTGTTTGGCCGATTTTTTAAAGCGAGAGATACTCATCGGTGGTGCGATTTTTTTTTTTTTTTTACAGGAAAATCGTCGAACTGGAGGAGGAGCTGCGCGTCGTTGGCAACAACCTCAAGTCCCTCGAGGTGTCCGAGGAGAAGGTATGAGACTTTGTTTTCCCTTTTTTGGGGCTGTGTATTCGCGAAGTTGGATATTTTTAACTAGTTCCCGCGGATACGATTTTATTCTTGTTTTTACATTTATTAAAAAAAAAAAAAAAAAAAAAACTCAGAAGAAAAAAAAGTCAAACCAGTTTTGTAAATCAAAAAAATATTTATCTCAGAAAAAAAATATTTTGGAAAGATTGTAATGTTGAATGATGTTGTGAATAGGCCAACCAACGTGAGGAAGAGTACAAGAACCAAATTAAAACCCTGACAGCTCGTCTAAAGGAGGTTCGAGAGTGCCTTTACCTGCGTGCACTTATTATTTTTTGTTTTGCTCTGAGACGCTCTACTTTTTTTTGTTCCAAGCACGCGATCGTACTAACAATCGGATGTTGCTTTAAGGATACGTACTGTTCTTTAATTCGTATAGTTATACATGAATAAAAAAGAGAGAGAGAAAAGAACAATATGTCTTAAAACGAATTTGACCCCCACCTAGACGAAGCAAAATAATAGTTTTTGCATGAAATTCGATTGACCATAATAATGAACATAATGCTAACGTGCTGTTTTTGTTGTATTTTTACTAAACAATGCATTTTTGTCTTTTTTGTTGTGTTTTTATCGTAACAGGCTACACAGAGGGAGGAAAACTTCGAGGGCCAAGTTAAGATTTTGGACAATCAGTTGAAAGAGGTAAGATTTTCAGTCGAGAAAGTAATCGAGAATAGTATATTTATATAGTATATGTTGGACATTTAAAAAAAAAAAAAAAAAAAAAAGATAAATAAAAACAAATTAGGGAATCAATGAAAATTGTACAAAAGGTCTTTGACCGAGTAATTGCAGTTCGAGTAAAAATATAGTTGTACGTGTAATTCGAAACGAGAGGTATGATTTGGCTGACGAGGTCAATTTGAGATGAGATGTACGAGTCTCAGGTAACGATGAAAAGCATGTTGGTGCCAAAATTTTTGCGATTGCCAAACTACTCCGTCCTATTAAAAGTACAGAGTAAACGTATGAGCAACACATTGTTGTTGTCGCTTTTTTACCAACTTAACGATCCGCATGACAGTGTGACAGCACTAATTAATGAATCTTATTTATTTTTGTGTGTTGTTTTCTTTTTTAATTAAAATAACATGACAAACAGAGAAAAATAAAACAACATTTTTGTCTCTTTCTCTGTTTAACTCATTATTGAGCAAACAAGACAATTGCTAACTGCTGATTGTCATTTTCCAGGCCGAGGCTCGAGCTGAGTTTGCTGAAAGATCCGTGCAGAAGCTCCAGAAGGAGGTCGACAGGCTCGAAGGTGCGTACATTACTTTTCTAAACACTTACACCGATAACATTACGATTGAATTGAGGTACGAGCTGGTAATCGATAATCGTTGAAGGCAAATTTGATTTTAAGGTGTGTAGGTACATGAATTAAAAATACAACACATCTATCGTTTCACTAAAATATAAGTAAATATGAAAGAGGAGTAAAAATACTACGTAGCAACATTACATTTTTTAACACGTTACAACGAAGCTCTATTTGATTTCGATTACAAGTGCGTACCTTATCAACGAGAGAAAAAAAATAGAGTTTAGATAAGTTTTTTTTTAAATAGAGACCTGAACAAGTAAGTCAACTTGAAAATAAAAGGACCTTTCCCAATTCTCCAATTACCTTGATTTTAACTTGTTGTTTTGCAACTAAAAAAAGCTGCCTTCCCGCCCAGCGAGCAATGGATGAATCCTTTGAAAAATATTTATTTTTTATTTCGATCAATGTTATTTATTCGAAGTAATACAAAAGAATAGAGTTTTTTTAGGTCTATGTTAGAGTTCGGATTCAACATTAATTGAATAATCAAAGATAAATATTATTTAGAGGATGTCGTTCGTAATGAGTGTATCGATTCCCTCGCTCCCTCAAAAAAGCCAAGTTTGTTCAATGTTTTGTTGTATTTCATTAACGAAAGAGTGAGACAAAAAGTGCCAATAGCAAATAATAAATATTAACAAAATAGCGCACGACAGGCGAATAAACCAAAAAACTTATGCTTTTTCATGATTTACTTTTTTTTTTGCGCGTGAAAGTGTGGCCCTAACCAGTTATCTTTACAGACGAACTCTTTGCCGAGAGAGAAAAAAACAAATTGCTGCAAGACGAGATGGAGGCGACTCTGCATGACATCCAGAACATGTAAAAATAAAAATCACTAATACGAATCAAACAAACACGTGCTCCCGAATATCCCCGCCGTGGTTTATTATTGTGGTGCAGAATACCTTTTAATGATAAAAAAAAAACACGCCTTCAAAACAACAACAATAATAGAGTAAGCAACTGCAGTGTTGCAGTTTCTTTATTTTTAAAAGAAAAATTAGAGTTTTGTACTTTGCTACTCTTTGCTAGCGAAAAGAGAGAGTTTAATTTACTGTATGTCAGATGACCGAAGAAGCGCAACAGACGATGAATTAATTACTTGTTTAGGTAATGATATATTGACAATAGTGACGCTGAATTCAGGAGGAATTTAAGTAAAGTTAAAACTTTATAATAATCGCGAGCGACAATATATATATGACTAATTAGGCGTACGATTTCCTTAAACTATCGCATGTTATCATAGACAATCATGAATTTCACTCACGTTTTTCGATTTTAAGTTAAAAAAAAAAAAAAAAAACAAAAAAAAATAATAATAAAAAAAAATTCATTAGGTTCTCAATTAGCGCTGTAATTTTTTGTTTCGTGCCTAATTTCTTATTTTGTATTGGCATTTCGAACGAAAGTTACAGTTCTTTTTTTTCTTTAACGAACACGTTTCTGGAGAAAAGAATTTTTTAAACAACTGGCAATATGCAATAATTTGTATTTTTAGACTAAACGTTGTTTTGAACTGATGATAAATTAAGAGGCTGTTAAATCAAGACGAACTTAACGATTTACTCGTTTTTTAATTGCTATTTACATTTCATAAAACCCTAAGTAATATACACAAATAATACATAAAACAAAATTACTGAAAGACCAAGAAAGTATAGTCGGTAAAATAGCTTTAACAGCCTTTAAGCTCAGTATCGTGTAATATGTATAAGAAACAAAAAATATACAAACGCGGTGGACTGATAATTGATTTTGCGGGTCAAATTCGCGTTGTTTTTTGAACCAAACAATTGTGGCAAATAACGAAAAAAAGTAATGTAACTTAACAAATGCGTCGTGCAATTTAAAATGAAAACGTGAACAAATCATATACACACAACACACTCCGACTCAAGCATTCCGTCGATCGTTCTTCCAGTTGAAAAATAGAATAGAGAAAAAAAAATGTATTTAGCTTGTGTAATGTAATAACTGCCGTCTCTCGCATTTCTCTTTTCTTGAAGACACAGACACACACATACATATATATTTATACGGTTAACCGCATCTCCGCATCTTTCATTTGCGACGTGCTACCTTAATTCTTTCTTCTTGATAACGTAATGGAGAAAATCCATGGTACAATACTGCCTCATGCAAAATTTTTTGTCCATACCTTTGTAAGAACAACAATTTTACTTTTCCGTACAATTTACACGAGCTTACTTTTTTTTTTTACTATTAACTTTAGAATGTTTTTCAAACGTTTCATAGGAAAATTTTATGCGAAATATAAAAATTTAGAAAATTTTTCATTGAGATGTATTGTACTGATGACGATCGTTAGTTCCAACTGTGCACGCGGAAACATGATAACGATTGCATGGACGATTTTTTTCTTTCAAAGAAAACGAGTATATGATCATAATAATATATAAATATTATTCTATGTAGAAAGAAAAAATGGTGCAAAAGAATCGTGATGACTATTATTTCGAGTAATATCGTTATTTTTTATCGTTTAATTGAGACTAAGTAAGGAAAACAAAGGAAAGTTCTAAGACATTCCTACGAGAAGCCTCGAGGTGTATCGTTTAGTCTGTTAATTTACTTCATAGAAAAAAAAGTGAACACAAGAACGATTGAAATAATCACAATTACACTAATAATGTAATATTAATTATATATATTGCTATTATTATGAATATGTTTATAATATATATTTTGATTTTGAAGTGTGTGTTTTATTTTGTTTTCATTGTCTCTTTTATTTTGTCCACTAACACTAACACATGCGTACTTTGTATTGATATCGACGCTCAGTATCCACACTAACACAAACCCACGACGTTTTATTCCATCATCCAATGCGTCTTGTAACTGTGAAATTTCAATATTACCGTCTGCGAGTACTACCATTTACTTAATGCAATAAAAAAAAAAAAAAAACATTTTTGCTGCCTCGCCTACAACACTAAAAAATTGAATCGCCAAGGTAAGTAGAGTGTTTTGAGTTCATTAATAGATGTTGTGTGTGCTTCAAACGATAACAACTCATGAGTTAATTATTTTTCTTTATTTCCCTCATCCTTTCAAATACTTTTATAAATGTTTTTCGTATGTGACGTCGCATCATCACAACAATATTTACTTTTACCTCTATTCTTATTGATTGCCCATCAGATTTTGTACTAAAAATTATTTTCAATCAGCCCATGCTAGAATTCGCTAAAAATAAATCTGCTGTATTTCAATGGAAGCTTCACGCGCTTCGATGAATGTTTAACATAAACTGTATAAAGAAATTTGCAACTGCTTGCAGATGAAATGGTGGTGGAGAAGGAGAAGTATAAGGAGGTGGGCGACGGCCTGGACAATGCCTTCTTTGAGCTCTACGGCGTTTAAAACCAACAACCGCTATAGCATTAAGCGCCAAAATTTAACAACTAACGCTTCGCACCATACATCGCTTTTTACCATACTTTTCGCTTCACTGCCACCCTTTTTTTTTTAACATCAGTAAGTTGAAGGAGTAACTGCTTCGAAATCCTTATTATACCCTGCAACTGCTTTCATCACCTACTAATGAAAAAAATAAATCGCATAATAAATCTGGTACGTGGTATGTTTCATGGTGGTTGGGTTTGTCTTTGTGGTATTTTTCCTTGGATCACTTCAGCTCTTTTATGTAAAATTAATTGAAAACGTACATCACTCTGACCTTTTTTTTTTTTATCGACACACATTGAATTTTTAATCAACATTCTCGTGAATTTCATGCGTGCACGTAAAAAAGATTCGCAGCCACAATCACATGGCTCATATAGTATTAGTAATTTGAGCTTCATAGCATTCGGGATTCTTCGTCGGTTATTATTTTATACATTCAGACGAAAACTTAAGTTTGACATGAATTTATTTGAGCATTTCGAAGTGGAGTAAAATGTGCGGTATATTATTTGAAAAATAAAAAACGATTAAATGCTGTTTTGAAAGAGTTGAATTGATAAGAGAAACAATACTGCAGCTTGAGAATGTAAACAGTAGATGATGCTCTTAAAAAATGAAGTTTCACAAATGGACGTACAATACCCGTAAGGACTTGTAATTAATTGGGCGAGTTTGATTTCTACTGCTTGATACCATGAGACACCACATGACTCCATGACTCAATTTAACGATGATAGTCATGAAAATGTTGAGGAAAAAAAGAGTGTATAGATATCAAGCAAAAAAATGGCATGTGAGCAAAAAATGTTGAATTGCAGACGAGCTCGTCCACGAAAAGGAGAAATACAAATACATCTGCGACGACTTGGATCTCACTTTCACCGAATTGGTCGGTTAAGCTGCGCGTCGATCCTTTCCATCTACTATTATTTTACTATTGCTACTATTTTTGTGAACATCAGCAAGAAACAACGAGAGACTGGAAGAGAGAGAGAGAGAGAGAGAAAGAGAAATGAATCATCTGCGGAACAGCAAGCAAAAATTACCGCAAAAATATATCATCAAACAAAGAAAAAAAAGCGACGGATCATCAATGATCGCACGACAAAAAAAAAAAAGATATATTTATTTATTTTTTGGCCACACTTTGTCATTATTACTTGTAATATTGTAATTAAAAGTTAAATCATTGTACAAGAAGACGAATGATTTGCGTGATTTTCACCCCCCGTTTCCCTGCACCTTTGTGCTCCTCCAATTTTTCCGTACAACTATATTCCTCGTTGTTTCCCTTTTCACACGACACACAAAGCTCTTTTATCAATTATATTATGATACTATACGTATATATTTTTAATCGTAATAATGTTTACTCATCTGTGCTTAAAGACAGCGTATTTCTATACGTGTAACATTTATCGTTTACATGTGAAATATAATTTATCGATGCTTGAAGTCTCGGGCTACGAGTTAAATTACTTAAATAAACAATACACATAATCGAGGATAATTTATCACTAATTTGTTTGAGTTTAATTGAACGAATTCAGTTAACTGTTAGTTAATACGTACACATATCTATACGCATTACGCAAGTGACGAAAAGAATTGTAAAAATGTCAGATACACATGCATGATTGTTCAATCGAATGCAGTTTTACTGGATTTTATAATAAAAATGAATTTCGCAAAACAGAGTACGATTTCATTATTCCGATTAATCAATAAACGGCCTTTCTCAATGGATCTGCTTGGTCTACCTTATTTATTGCCCACAAATTTGGAAAAGGAATGATTCTAACACATATATACATGTATCTCTTTCTGTAAATCCTAAGTATTTGGTAATGGTACATGGTATTTTTTTTTTTTTTTTTTTTTTTTAACATAATAATCTAAATATCTTAATTTAAAATTATTGTTGAATTAATCAAGGGAAGGTGCATATCTCACAACTAAACTTAACATTGGCAATTTCATCCCTATGACTTACTGTTAGCTAGAAAACGAGGGAAGGATCAAATAAAAACAAAAAAAATATTTAAAAAATAAAATAAGATAAACAAGTGCTTAATATATGTTGTGATCATATTGCAGACGAGCTGCTGAACGAGCGTAGTAAGTACAAAGCGATCGCCGAGGAAATGGACCAGACCTTTGCCGATCTCGCCAGCTACTAATGCAAACAAATAACAAAATGATGATTGGCTATGAGAATCAAGAGGGAAATTATTCCGACGATAAGAGATACGCACTGCCTACTACTGAGAAAAATAAAAAAAAAAATAAAAATTCGGGGGGTTTGAACTGCTGTGTACGTGTGTGCCATCTGTTCGTTGAATTATGACGAGTTTTTTAAACAAAAGTTTGGCAGTGTGAGCTTTTCAATAATAGCTTTTGTTATTGTTTCGCGGTAAAAACACACACACACACAATTGTCAATTTTATATTACATACATGAATAACTCTTGTAACGCGTATCTTCCATTTGAGTTTTTTTTTTTTCTATGTATACCTGCCAAAGCAAACCTAACCGATCCTTTTTGATATAGATTATTTATACCGGATGCGTTTCTATTGCGAGCGAGAACTAATTGTTTGTAACGACGCAGAGTAGCTTTGTATAATAAACAGGAAATACAAAATCATTCGAAAGCTTTCTCGTAGTTGGTTACGACGAGGGTTGACAGAAAACGGAAACAGTTTAGTCAATGCGTGGGATTTTATGAAAATACTTTTATTATCTTGGCAGATTTCGTGTGTTGCTGGATGAAAAAAGTCATTTGCGCTTGTACTAATTTTTTCAAATTTGTAAGTTATCTTTTGATAATGTACATTTCACTCGTCGTCAAAGAATTGAATCGCGAAAAATTGGAATGAGAATTGTTGAAAATTATATTCAACTTTTGACTTTTGGCAATAATTCGCGCAAAACAGTATAATAGTTCTCTCAAGTGCTTTGAATTGATTTGAGGTGCGTTTGATGCAGAAATGAACTTGGCGAACAGAATGGGTTACAACTAATAATGCATTGTCAATGGCATTATTGGTTATATAAGTTTTACAACGAGACTGTAGGATTAAGATATTTGTGCTAGTTGGTGGTGGTGGTGGCGATGAAGGTTGATTGATGGAGATGCGCTTCTTGAAAGTATTTTTTAATATGTTGTTCGAAATGGAATTTCGAAAAAAATCTGTCGTCTAGTATGATTATTAAATTGTGTTTTTTTACGAATTTGTAAATTTTGATTATCGGATCAAAATCGAAGGGGCAGCTGGAAATTAATATATTTTGATAAATTACTATTCGATTGAGTATATATGATAAAGCAAGCATTTATTTAGAAAAACATTATATTCCAATGAAATTTACTAACTTTGAAAAGATTGTCTTTCATATCAATTAGTCGAACTTTTTCCACAGAAGCGCATTGTCGTTGAATATTTTTCATCTGGTTTAGGTCTAAAGAAACACATCGTCCATTAAAAAAAAAAAAATTAAAAATAAAAGATACCATTGGTTGACTTTATCTTACATAATTATATTATTATATTATTATAAAAAAAGGCTTCGCTTTGATGAATCGTGTGCAAGCTCGTGGCTTAATTTTCGCTTGCGTTTATTTATTCGATTAATTATACATATATTAAGCTTTATTTTTGTGCTGATAACTTGATTTTTTTTGTTGCTTCAATAAACGCGGGAAAAAATCGAAAAAGAGCAAAGGAAAGGAAAAAAAAAAATACAACGCGAAGACGGATTTGTCACATTGAGATGCGGCAGTGCCAAAAATAAAGACGCAAAAGTTTTCAAAGTTGGGTCGTCGAGCCTTGAGCTCTTGAGTCCCGGCATCTCTCGAGCGATTGCACAATTTATACATGTACACGAGAATTTGGGGCGCTAAAATTCATCTCCATAACATACGTATGTACTGTTAAACTGATTTTAAAGATAAAACTAAATTATGTACATGTTAAGAATTTTTTCAAGCACCTAAATTATCATTATAAATCGAGATTGGAAAATTAAAATTGTATATCCATTTTTATCATTCACATAATTTTTATGGCCGAACGCATTTGATTTGTACATTCCGTTGTAAGAATAGTGCGGTTAAAATAAATCCTGCGAATTTAAAGGTGAAAGGTGACGTTTCTCATAATCAACATGTTGAGAATAAAATAAGACATACTTGTAATGGTAGCAATGACGATTTTTCACCTTTAAATTCAGCAATTGTAGTGCAGAGAAAGAATCTTTTCCTCAAATCTATGAGCTGCGTGCGTTGTAAATATATTATATACACAGCATAATTATACATATTTCGATGAATTGTCAATGGATTTTATTATCATCGAGGGGAATTTTATTGCGCGGTGAAGGTTATAATCATTATAATTTATGAAGAAAATTAAACCTCATAACATTCCACAGTGCACAAAAATAAACCTATGCATGGGTTATTTTTGTTCTGCCTGATGTAGCTTGGATGAGTGAAAATGCGACAAATAAAAGCGTTTTAAAAATGAAAACATCATTCTCAGTGTCTGTGTTCATTTTTTCACCACTCCATTATTATAAAACCACTCTCAGTTATTTATTTTCATACAAATCTTTCTTATAAATAAATTGATAAATTAAACTATATTCAATTAGTTCTATTCTATCCAGTAAATATTATTGATTATAGATATCAGATTCATCAAATTTAAATTTAGCAATCGTTCGTTATACATACATATGATTAAATGAAAAAAAAAATTAACCTAACATTTTGTAAAGGAACTGTATGTTCCTTAAAAAACGTAATAAAATAAAACAAAAACATTTTGTAATATTTTCTGGTACCTTGGTGCATTGCAGAACCCTTTAAGCTACCCCTATAAAAAAATTGTTTCTATCGACCAAACGTTTATTTTTCACTCTGGCCAACCATAAAAAAAACTCACAGGGACGCGCGAAAAAGCTCGTCGCAGATCTTCCGCCAAGGTAACTAAAGATATATTTTTGCTCTCTCTACTGCACGCGGACTCCACTCCGTGATCAGTCCCGTGTACGACATTCGTTCTTTTCTTTTTTTTTTTTTATCGCTTCTCCCGATATTAAAAATCTCTCTCTCTTGTAAATAACCGCGCGAACGCGCTTTCGACTTCTCGTTCTCCCCTTCCCGTGGGATTTATTCTTAGGTATTGCCCCAATAACAACCGGGTACGCGTTAGCTTTACCCGCGACATTTCGTGTATAGCTTTATACTTTTTATCGACGGGTGGGCATTGTTTTTAAAGCTCTGCTGCTTCGAGAAACGTTTGTTTTACGATTTGTGATGGATTTTTATTACGTTTGTTTTTGGAACAGAATTATGCAATGCAAAAAAGGGTAGGGTCTTTTAATTGTTGATTCGAAAATTGCTCATTAGAAAATTTAATGGTATATATATATATATGTGTGTGTGTCACTGGAATCGTGCCAATGTTTGGACACGAATTACTCTACGCACACACTGTAGAGGCAATTGAAGATTAGGACGACTCGAGAGACGGGAAAAATGATTTTCTCGAACAATGAACTTGCCTCTGGCGGGTTTCAAGTGTATGTAATTGGGCCAAGACTCTTAATTGATTATACTGCGAAATCTATCGCGTGCTAAAAAAAAGGCATTTCTCGAGACGGTTTTTCTTGTTTGCACCTCACGCCTTTAAATCAATAAACCGATTTTGACCCCATTGAGCCCTATTTTGTAAGTTTTTAAAATTTTATATCCATAACGATACTACCATCTTATAATTAGATTATCATATGCAAAAAAATAACAATTTTTTTTTTTTTTTTTTTTTTTTTCATTATACTTGACTACCGATCTTCTTTGACTCTAGTGGTTATCGCCGATCATGATTATAAACAGCATCAATCATCGAAAGCTATTCCGCTAAAGAATGAAAAGTCGCTCATTGCCACTAAAACCCATTATCTCTAAGAGAGATCGGTAGCAAAGAAAGATCGATACACCAACGAAGCATTGGCAACAGCTTTTCCAAACGCAGAAGCCGACGCAGAAACGCCCCCAGATCCCGAGTCAAAAACAGGCCTCTGCTCCAGCTGGATATCAATGCAGAGAAAGAGATGTAGCAAAAAAGAAGAAAAAGCTCCGCGTGAAACAAAATAAACCGAGATCGGTTGAGCTTCGGCTGGCAGAATCGGCAAAGCCAGGGAAACACGTATCTTCCAAGACAGACAGACAGTCAGGATTGAGTGGGTGGGGGTAAGGAAAGCTCGCCATTTTTGGTTTCCCCTCCCGGGCGCCAGTTCCCAGCGTCTAAGGGGAGAACCAGCCAGCTGCGGCAACCGAGCTTGCGGACCGAGCACTCGAGACGCGTAGCTCTGAACGCTCGGGTAGGTAAGTTCCGTCTGGGTCCCGTTGCTGTTTTTCTGTGCTGCTGCTGCTACTTCTCTGGAGGATCCAGGATATTTGCACACACGAGCGGATTGTGCTTTTTTTTTTTTTTGTTTTTTTGTTTTTGTAGTTGTTGTTTTTTCATTTTTTATTTTATTGCACTGCTGCTGCTGCTTTCTGTGAACGGAAGAGTCTTCTTCGCCGGGGAGCTGCTTTTCTTCCGAAAATAAATATTGTGTGACAGTGCGGGCAACGCGAGATCATTATCATTAACCATTTTTCTCACCGTCCTCGGCATCGTTACGTTACTCATTAACAATTTGAGCTTCATTGATTTGGTACCCCAGAAAATTTGTACGTATTATACACACACACACACACACACACACACACACACACACACACACACACACACACACAAATATACATACACAGTGTGGAAAATGTGCCTCATTGGAATCTCGATGATTCGGGTGTGATGAACAATTTTCTCAGCTACTTTTTGTTTGCATCAGCAATTACTTTTCCATCCATACATGTATATGCCGCTTTGATTTTCCGTCTACCGCTGGCCGCTGGTGTCGACGTAATAAATCGCGAGCGCAGCTGTGGCAAAATCCACGTATGGTCATGCTTCGGCTTCTGCAGCTTTTTTCTGCTATTCTAACAACGTTTGCCAGTAAGTACTAAACAATTTTTCATCTTCATTGACGTTTTTTTTTTTTTTTTCCCTTCTCATACCTTGAAAATCATGCGTGTGACATACCGATCTATTAACAACCCCAAGCACACGTTGGGAAGAAAGAAAAAAAACCTGAATCGAGCCATTGAAAAATTTCGGATCTCAGGATGCGCGAGTGTCTATTTCGGCCGCGCCGCTCAAACATAAAACACACCGCGACGGAAGGTCCAACGAAAATATCTCCCCGCGCGCGTAAACGTTAATCTGCCCCCCCCCCCCCTGTGATTGACTCGAAAATAAAAGCCACCTAAACCATAGGGGAGGGGGAGAAAAGAAATCTAAAAATTCGGAAAACAAACGAGGTCAGAGAGGAAAAAAGCTCGAAAGCTCTCCCCCCTCTCGCCATACTGATTTTGTGTAAAGAGCAGCGTAGTATAGTGTACAGCACGGGCCGGAATGCGCGCATTCTCGCCAAATTCTATTTTCGCGGTGGCCCGCGCGCGTTCCCTCTTTTCTCGCACACACTCGTGGGAAGGTATATCATACTTTTGTTACCGAACCAGGCCGATGTCTTTTCGAAATTCGCACGTATACGCACACACACACACACACACACACACACGTGCACGCAATTGAGTTTAGGACACGGAGGGGTAGGGGTAAGGGGGAGGAGGAGGGGGTAGTTTTTGGGCAAGGTCATGAACTTTTTCGAGGGACGGGGGGTGAGGAGAAGGGCGACGATCGACGGGGCGCTATTGGCGGAATTCGAAGATCGGCTGGTGGTGCACCGCCGCGGATTGACGGGCGCATATGTGACGCAAGGTGGTTCTGCGCCCGTCATCGGTTGGGCGTTGCCGGGACGATCGGGTGACGATGGGAATGACATTCAATGGCTACTCCATACCGATATAGGCTCGCGTGTTTTACCGATCCTCGGCGTTCCAAAACTCGTTTGGAGATGAGTGATTTGGGCAGCTTTATTCGCACCTCGAATTACGACACAGGTACACATGAGAGCTGTTTCGTTTCGAAAATCTCAGAGTATCGGTAACCAAATTGCCTTTTTTTTCTCCCCTTCTAATTTCGTACACTGCCGATTCAAAATATCCTCGGTTGATGCTCATTGGGCGATATTTTAGAACCCCCAGTCATAAACACGAGCTTCACACGGTGTGCCATTGGGATCAGGGAATGCACAGTACAAGTTGTTTGTCGCCGAACGGAAGCAGTCACCGATCATCGGCACAAGCTTCCACTGTCCTCCCCCGCGCCATACGGTTTGCCGCCTCGGGTCTCCAGCACCTTGGAAGCTCCAAACAATGGCTCGGGGGCGCGGGAAGGTGAAGATTCTTCGCGATGATGGTCGCCTAGCCCCCGCCTCGTTGAGCAAAACTCTCGCAATAATATTCCTCCGGGAGCTTTTTCTATAAATACGTGCGCACGGCCGTTGGGAAAGACTCTACCGTGCGCGCGAGGGATCGGGTGTCGGGTGGCCCGAGGTAGAGCCCGCGAGAGCGAGAAGGAGAGTCTGGAGAGGAAGGAAAAGTCCGCGCGCCTCGGGCCGCTTCTCAAAGATGCTCTCGCGAGAGAGAGCGGCTATTTGTGGACTCCGGGCTGCGGCTGCTATTTCCGTAGATTGCCGCCCGAGACGCTACCCCCCCCCCTCCCCCTATCTTTTCTTTCTAGAGCGCGCTGTATTTTTTGAATTTTTCGGGGCTTTTTTACCAGGGAAAAAAACAAACGACTTGTGGGTAGGGGAGGAATTTTTTTTCTTCCAAAGGCTTCGTTGCGAATTCGAACGGGTGTTTTTTTTTTCCGATGGGTACGCGGGTATCGGAGGTATCCGGCGCGCGTTTATTAATACACCGGCGTTGTTTCCTTCGGCACCTTCAACGTGAGCGCTACTTCCGTTTCCCTTTCGCATTTGCGCGTGTGGAATCGAGTTTGGGAGTCGGTGGGATTCGAGAGCCTAGTTTCCGCGAAAGTTTCGAGCTTCCTGACGTAACGGCTTATTATTGGATGCGTTTGGGTGTGAAAAAACAAAAAAAAAAAAAAAAAAACCCAATCGATCGAGCTCGAATGACTAATTTGCGCTGCCAGAACCGTGAATTCTGTTCTATGGAATTTCTTTCGAGGTGGGATATGGACGGAAGCTTTTTTTTTAAATAAAATCATGTTTTCTTACCAGAGTCCATAAATTAATAACTGCCAAAGATCCGATTTCGCAATGACGTTTCCTTCGAATTGATGGAACCGTAAACTATGCATGATGACAACTTCAACGAAAAAACTATTCATTTGACAATTTTCAAGATAGAATGATTGTACAGCCATTTGGTAATCCGAATCGTGTACTTTTACAGCTTCATTAGTGCGCGTTTGTAAATGCCTACAAGCAGACGTTTCGGAATGTTTTTTTTTTTTTTTTTACAGAGTTTTCTAGTAAAAAACTCGCAAAGCTTTAGAAAACGCGAAATTTTGTGATTGTACTCTGGAAATTTGTTCGTACAAAAACTACAGACTTCAGACTTGGGTGTATTTTCTCTTGACTTTAATTTTTTTTTGTAATTCTTATACCTACGATGGTTGAGTCACCGTTGATTCAATATTGATTCCACATGGGTTCAACGTCAACGTCAATGTTGATGAAACTACAAATAGTAATATTAATAACAAAAAAAAAAAAAAAAAAAAAAAAAAAAAAAAAAAAAAAAAAAAAAAAAGTTTCCAACCGATAACTTTTGTGAACTAATAAAAAACATGCTTTGCCTGTCATGCTAAATTGAAAAAACCCCGAAAGGTCTAAAAGGACAGGATCCCTTTTCCTGTGCCCCCAGTGACGCGACCACCGCTGTTAGTCTTCGCATTCGGATAAAAAGGAGAAAAAAAAAGCCATCACCATGGACGCGATCAAGAAGAAGATGCAAGCGATGAAGCTGGAGAAGGACAACGCCCAGGACAAGGCCGACACGTGCGAGGGCCAGGCAAAGGAGGCGAACATGCGCGCGGACAAGGTCAACGAGGAGGTCCAGGAGCTCACGAAGAAGCTCGCCCAGGTGGAGAACGACCTTATCAACAACAAGTCCAACCTCGAGCAGGCCAACAAGAACCTCGAGGAGCGCGAGAAATCCCTCACCAATGTATTTAACGCCCAGTTATTTTAACGCATCCTCATATACGTTGCATATCGGATTCACCCGAACGACGCGTGTGTTTCGCAGGCCGAGTCCGAGGTCGCCGCCCTCAACAGGAAAGTCCAGATGATCGAGGAGGACCTCGAGAGGTCCGAGGAGCGCCTCAACACCGCCACCGCCAAGCTCGCCGAGGCGTCCCAGGCGGCCGACGAGTCCAGCCGGTATTTCACCCTTACCCACGCGTGTCCGCCACTCGATAGACGCGACCATCACACTGCATAGTCTCACTTTTTTGTTCGCAGCATGTGCAAAGTGTTGGAGAACCGCGCCCAGCAGGACGAGGAGCGAATGGACCAGCTGACGAACCAACTCAAGGAGGCCCGGCTCCTGGCCGAGGACGCGGACGGCAAGTCGGACGAGGTGTCCCGCAAGCTGGCCTTCGTTGAGGACGAGCTCGAGGTGGCCGAGGACCGAGTCAAATCCGGAGAGGCGTGAGTGAACACTTGGTTATTCATTTACTTCGGGGGTGCCATTTATCTTGAAACTTTCCTTTTGCCGTGTACATTATTGTCACACGAGAGAGTACACGATTGCATAAATATGTGTTCCTTTGTCGGTTTGTCCAGCAAAATCATGGAACTCGAGGAGGAGCTGAAGGTCGTCGGTAACAGCTTGAAGTCCCTGGAGGTCTCCGAAGAGAAGGTGCGGTTGGCGTTTGATAAGTCAATGTGACCTTTGTTTCCGGATACTGAGGGACGATGTTTTCCTTTCTTTTTTTTCCCCACAGGCCAATCAGAGAGTCGAGGAGTTCAAGCGGCAACTCAAGACCCTGACGGTCAAGCTGAAGGAGGCTGAGGCACGCGCCGAGTTCGCCGAGAAGACCGTCAAGAAGCTCCAGAAGGAGGTCGACAGGCTCGAAGGTTCGTTTCTTCACAGCAATGGTCGATCACCGAGCTTTTTTCCTCCAATTTTTCTTTTTCCCTCCGCAGTTCCCAAAAATTCCGTTTGCCTTTCAACGTAATAGGTGTGTACTCTTTTTACGTGGAATTTTAGGAACTCGTCCAACTCCTGCATAACGACCACCTGACTTATTACGTCCCATGTATACCTTGTGCGAGTCGGAAGCCCTTAAACTTTTTGTCAGTAGCAAAATTAGTAGAGAAAAAAAAAAACAGACTTTTTTTTTTATTCAATAGCGACGTAGTCACCGGCCAATTGAGTGTCTATCCAAACAAGTGATTTTTTGCTCGACGCCGGTATTTTTTTGTAAAAACGGCGTCGTCGACTAGTAGTCTGTGTCTCCTCAATGTTTACCCAATGACCGATTAGAAAGAAGAAGAAAAAAAAAAAAAAAAAAAAAAAAACCGATTTCTCGTTGCAGACGATTTGTTCCGCCAGAAGGAGAAGCACAAAGCAATTTGCGACGACTTGGACTCGACGTTCGCCGAGCTTACGGGCTATTAGATGAAAAAATGCCACTTTAATTTTAATTTTCACACCCGATTTCACGCGCACTACACACTATTTGTCCCTACCCTTTGTGGACGTCTATTTTATTTTTTTTTTTTTATTTTTTTTTTGTTTTTCTTGTATTGTTTCTTTCTGTCACTCAAACTTTGAAAGCTCTAGCCAAGGATCCAATGCTGTTTTTAACGTTTTGAAGTTGCAAGTATTTGTACAGTTGAAAATTAAACTCTTCGACGCAATACACAAGCGTTTTGGTTCTCAACAGAATTTTGTCAGCATCTAGAGAAATTAAAAGACAATTGAACGCTCCATTTTATTAGAATCAACTATAATCGCTAAAAATAAAACATTTATTTATGAATATAATTGCGTGACCAATAACTAACCCATAGTGAATAAGTGACGTATTGTAAACATGGTATACTTGAGCAAAAAAGCAACATCGACGACCAAGTGTATATAAAGCCTCTGTCCCAGGTATTTCGGAATTTTACTTTTTGTAGCCTCTGAGACGTTCCGTATGTCATACACATAATGTTGTAAACCCTGTCCCTATGGTTTTAGTAGAGAAAAACACCGCTACGTGACGAGAGAGAGAGAGAGAGAGAAAGAAAAGATATTCTCGTAGAAATTAGAGCATGTGTCATTTTTGGCGCTTGCCTACTACTACTCCCTTCCCTCCCACTTCTCTTTTCTTATACTTCTCCAAACGCAGAGCAAACGCCTCCTCTTGGGTTTATAGAGGCTCAAAGATTTCAACACCTTGAATTTTCATTTGCATCTATTATTTACTTCCCTTTGGTGCTTTCGTATCAAAAAATAAGCACCAGTACCATTAATTCTTAACAAAACATCTAGATGCACCAATTAGTGTTTGCAACATACTTATATACGTTGTGGATATAAATAATACGATTAACCGACTTGAAGTTCATAATCAATTTTAATTTCCCATGACATGATTTTTCAAGAAAAACCATGTTTGAAAAAAAAACCATCGAATAACGCATGTGCAAATAACCATCCGACAAGTATGTATATAGCCCCATAGTTTATAGATTTCAATGATTGCACGCAACAGGAAAATTGAAGATTTCAGTCGACTTGCTAGTCACCCGATCGACAATAGATTATACTGCTTGTTAGTTAATAGTAAAATAGGTGGCTTGATTCATGTGGAAGACTATATTATGCTTTCGCATACAAGACACGACTGCTGCGTTTGTCACCGTAGCAAAAAGTGTAATTAAAAAATATTGAAGGTTTTAAAATTTTTCACATAGACCAAACGGTTACACCATGGGTGGTTACACTTTTTGCCGTGATGAAAGTATAAGGTACTCCTATGTGAAGTAGTCGTGTCGTAAAGTAAAACGAAAAAACCTCTAGAAACAGTCACCAATAAAAGAATCGACAAAAAATGATTCATATAGAGCACGTATGGATTCGTCGAATCCAAAATTTGTATTAAATAGTTGGCGAAACTGGCTATTCTACTTTTTAACTCTTTCCTCTTACTTTTTCAGACGAGCTCGGCATCAACAAGGACAGATACAAGTCTCTGGCCGACGAGATGGACTCCACCTTCGCCGAGTTGGCCGGTTACTAATTTACCTCGACTTCGAACATCACCACACTTCACGAGCAAAAGAAGGAAGAAATATATTTTTAAGATATATTTGTCACACACGATCGCCCAAACGAGACACATGTTGTTCATCCAAAGCAATTATTATCTCGTGTTGCGCAGCTCATCGGGTGGCTGCGTATAAAAACACAGTGCGTGTATTGACAATATTAAGAACAAGATAAAAATTAAACAAAAAAAGAAAAAAAAAATGCCAATAAAAGAAGAAGAAGAAATCACATCTTATATAATATTTATTGTATATCTCATCGATTGTGGCCAAGATTATATATTATTAATATTAATATTATTATTCCATTTTTTTTTTTCATTCTCTTAAACTTTCTACCACGTCTCTTACGCTCAGCCATTTAATATTATTTTTCCAAGTTCGGCTTTTTGTATGCACGCGTATTACTTGACACGAAATCGAAAAATCGTCAAAAAATTTATTTATGCAACTAACGATTGTGTAATTAAGGTCCCTCGTATTTATTTATTTTTATTTGTCGATGAACTGAAAACTTTTTTTTTTCAAACAAGACGATTGTCACACAACTTTCCCTTTTTTTAACTGCTCCCTGCAACAACTAAGGTTCAAGATTTTCTTTTTCATTCGTTTTTCATCAGATTTTAAGATAAATTTTATTTTTAAAATATTGAAATTGTACAGCGGAGGAAAGGATGTCTTTTAGCTTGGTTGGATTTTGTATGACTCGTGTTTAACTTTTGAAGATGATTTATGTGGGTTGTGATATTTAAAATAGTTGCATACCCCTAGACAAAAAATATATATTAAAAAAAAAACCGGACGCACAGTCGCACACTTAGTTTTATCTTGTATTTATGAGTCATCATGTTAATGTTTTAAATTATTAATAAATGGCTGTAACTGTTTATGTTGTCGAGAGTTTCATTTTCCTAAATTTAATTCAGATTATTTTTTAGTTTCCTTTTCAAACCAGAATGGAAATATCGTTGGTATGAAATTTAATAACTTATTTTTATAAGTTGTCCAATAAATTTGTTAGAAATGCATTAATTACTGTGCACACTAATTTTTTTATTTTCTACTTGGATGGATTTTCATATGAAAAAATGTTACAGCAAGTTATTTTTCCACGTATATTTTAGTTACCCGTGATTTATTCAATTGATTCGTATATTAAAAAATCCAACTACATATTTCTTCTGTAGTAATAAGTAAAAATTTTACAATGAGACATTATACGTTTCACATTGTAATTAAAAAGTATCCAACGACGAATAGCAAAATTAAATAAGTAATTAAATAAATTTTCAGTTTAAAGTTACGGAAGTAACGTATTGCCGAATGTTTTTCATTGCAAATATAAAATCTCTTGGCTAGTTTAAAAAAATGTTATAACAAAGTACCATATTTTCAAATTTGATGTAGATCACATTCGTGTGAAATATGTAACGCTGCTACAAATGAAATTATATCAAATATTCTATAAACTAATTTTTAACTGAGATAAAGAGCTCACAATTATCCAAAACTACAGAAAACATTTTTTTTTTTTTTTTTTCAACACATCGAATATACTGTAATAATACATCGTAACAATTTAGGTAATTTATTTAAATTAATAACGTTATGGATAAACCGAATGTAATTGCATTTAAATGACCTAAAGCTCTGGTAGGTGCGCATGTACAAAATTCAAATCGCAAGCTGCATTGGCGCCTTAATCTTGACCAATAGAAACTTTTGGCTAGAACATGACGCAATAATAGAATGTGATCCACAGCTGATAAGCAAGAGGCTAAATACCTATGCTGCTAAATTAAGTAGTGGCACACACTCTCACTTAACTTAACAAAAGTATACTTATGTCTAAAAGAAGTCACAGCACCTAATGGCTCTCATTGATTAGCTCACGTAAGAGAACACACAATACGTAATCATATTTCCTCTTACGGTCATTGGACGTATACAGTTTTACTAGTTGAATATTTGCAAGAGGATTGTTATTTTATACCCAGTATTTGGTTTTAAAAACAACTTTGATGTATCAGAATGAACGATTCGGTAAAGCCGTTCGCCTGCATCATAGCTGGCTGCAACATGGTAAGGATTAGTATACGTAAACTGACAGTTCCACCTCTTTCGTAACTCTTAACCTCACTTTTGAATATCTCTATCTCTGCTATTGAGATACTCATGTTTTTGTTACTTGTCACCAACTAAGTATATGTTATTGTTCTTGTTTTTGCTCTTGAAATTTGATTAACAAACCTGTCATGTACAATTTATCAGAGTTTTATCAACGAAGATCATCTAACTGTCCACAAAAAGAAGCACGACATGATGTTGAACCTTGGAATTAACAGCAAAAACAACTTTTTCATTGGTGAGACGCCTCTTTCGTACTTTTATTTTATTGTGTGTTTTAATATACTAAAATATCCTTCTTGCATGAGTATGTTGGTTCATACATTTGTTCAATACAATAAAAAAATTAAAAACCGAATTATTGGTTTATTAAGTATACAACTATTGGCAATAATTTTATTTAAAAATGGAGAGAAAAGTATATAAGTGTTTACATATCCTTATTGTCAAACTAAGTAAATAATGTGATAAAAAAAACGTTTTTTGCCAATTTATTTTTTCAACAGTATATATTTTTAATATCTAGCTGATCAAACACCAACACCAACAAGGTTTATTAGAAATTGTGACGATGTTGGATTATTTCAAGATTTACAAAGTGACAATCCATTTGAAGAAACATTTCGTAGAGCAGTGGAAGCGGGAAAAAGTGGAGAATTAACAGTACCTGAGGTAATATTGCAAAAAAATATAATTGTAGTGATAAATTTAGTTATACTTGAATTAAATGTACCTTATGCATTGTGTCAGGTTCATGAAAATGATGATACATTACATACACCTAACATATTTCCTCATATTACTGAAGAATGTGCACCTTCAGTCAGTACACAATCTAATAAAATTACAAAATCTGAATCATCTATTGATCTGGAATCAGTTTCTAATAAATCTGCCCACATAGAAGACAGTAGTACAATATGTGAAAATAAAAGCAGTGAGGATAATTTTGGCAATGTTTCCAGCAATAGCGCCATTTCTCAAAGTTTGTCAAGCTCACCAACAAACGATAATTCTATTGATAAACCAGAAACACATGTGTAAGTATTGTTTTTCTTATAAAATATTAATCTAAAATGTGAACTATTAGATTAATATTTTTGTCATTATATTTTTCCACCACTATTAGGCCTATCAATGTAAATGAAATGCAGATATTACTAAAAACGGAAAGTGGCAATGTATTAAGATTTGTTGCTGCACCTACACTGGATAGTATGAATTCTGTCAGCCTTCAACCAAAATTACCAGCTAAATCTGTAACTGTAACTAATGCTAATAATAAAACTGACATTGAGATGGTTTCTGACCAGAAACTATTATTGGCTAAAATGGTAAATTTTTGAACCTTGCATGTTATTTAACAAGGATTTATATTTTTTTAATTTTGATCGTTTTTTTTCAATTTTAGAAATTGAAGCAAACTTTAACAAAGAACGGTGTCGTTATTGAAAATAAAAGTATTCAAAACAACAAAAATGCTTCAGTAGATATCTCGAAAGAGAAGAGCAAAATAAAAGTTGATGGCGTGAAAAAACAAGCCATTAAGGAGAGAAACAGAGCAAGTTCTATGCGTGCTAGAGCCAAACGAAAAGTGTGGATAGAACAGTTACAAAATTCTTTAAAAAATGCCAATGAAACTAATGCTAATTTACATGCTCAATTAAAGAATCTGCATTGTCAAATAGACAAATTGAAAACTTTACTATTGGCACATAAGGACTGTCCAGTTACAAAGGCTATGGAGAAAGGTATGAGCATTTTTAAACATTTTTGGTACCCACCTTACGCCCTACCGTTTATTTAAAAAAAATTTTTTTTTTTTAAATTAGATACAATACTAAACATACCTTTGTCACTATTTCTTTTTTAAGTAACCCAAACTATTTTTGTTTTTGCATTTACCACTTGGACTTCATGCAGGAAACAGAATAATAGTAAGTTCCAAGGTGATAGCTTTAAAATCAAGTACCCTTGAATCCATTAAACCGATAAAGCGTGCAAGTACTGAAAAATTAATCGCACCAAAGAAAAAGTCAATAGTTTTACCAACTGTAATGAGCCCTATTATCATACCAACCACTAATTCGACGCCTAATACCATTACACTTCATGCTGCAGAGGCGGTAAAATCAATACCTACCATCAATATTGTTACACCATTAGGCACAAGTATAGGAAATGCAAAGACTATTTTAAGTTTCTTACCTACTGATTCAGAAAAAGTTAAAGCGAATCGGAGTTTTAGTGAGAATACTGGTGGATTGACACTTACTTGATGTAATTAGTATGGTTAAAGAAATCTTGCTAAAAAGTGTCATAAGAGGGTAAAGTGATTGAAGGCTCGAGCTAGTGGACGGCTCTATTAAATGTGATATGTTTAATAATGTTAATTTTAGTATAAAACATATTTAACAGAAAAGGCTTGATTGATTGATTTCAGTTTCTCTTTTGAATATTAAGAGATGCTAAAACAACCAACAACTTATGTATTTAAGGATTCGCTTTAATAATTTTTTTTTTTTTTTTTTCAAAAAAGTAGTTAAATTTTACTATACACGAAATATGTTATCACATTTTAATTTTTTTAAATAGAGCTACTTTATTGATTGTAAAAATTAATGAACAGTTTTAAAGAAATTGATATTTCTCACAGATGTTGCAAGTTGTAAAATATATATCCTTTTAATGTTATATAATATTAATTTTCAAAAAGACATCGTTGAGAAGTTATAATCAAAATTTCTTAGTACATAAGAAAAAAGTTAAGAAAAATCCTTAAATTTTGGTAAAATAAAGTATTACTCGTTGAAATATAATATTTCATGAATTTAAAAAGGACTTCGTTGGATTATTGGAAGAGTTATGATTTGTTGGAAAAGAGCGATTTACAAGCAGTTACCCTCAAATAATTGGTCGATTGATCTTGAAAATATTTTGAAATTCATTACCTACCCATGACTGTTATTATATTCATTATAGAAAAAAAGGACTTCATCACACCAAAAGTTGATGTACAGATAATTTAATTTTTATTATTTATTTAAACACATAATATTCAGTACATAAATCACATGTTGTATGAATGTTATAAGCAATGAGGTTGTACATTGTACATTACATTTTTTAAATAAATATTTTTATAGTCAAGTTAATGCAAAATTAATTTTTTTCAACCCATACTCTGCTGTAGTCCCACGATGTATCTGTAACCCTCTGGCCCTTATCAGTTCTCCGTCCAGTAGTTTAAAATATTACACTCGACACGAGAATGATAAGGGGCTTTAGGCACGTTGCTTACTTCCTAGAGACATGATTACAGCTCCAATCTTTCAATAGCTGTTTTGGTAAAACAAAATCATTTCTTCTAAAACAAACTACGTACATACCATACGATATATTACACATTTCTATATTCTCACAATTTGGCTTAGATTAGTTTTGTTTACTAATTAGATAAATTTTAATTAGATTTTACATTCTAGTAGAAAACTGCTTTTGACATAAATCTCCGTTACAATTACTTACAGTTGTTACTACACTGGACTTTCAAACAAAATATACATTTTGAATATAACACTTACAGTTATTTAAACACGTTGTCTCAATCGTACTTTTAATGAGATATTACATGAAACTGTGTACTAATCCATCTCGCACATACATCGCTTTCAATCGAAAATTTTGTAGTATTTCTAATTGAAATTTTTTTTCGCCTTTTAATAATATTAACATATTGTCATAAACATTAACACACTTCATTTAAAATTTTAAACTTAAGGTTGTATGCGAGAAAACTTTTTTTTTATATTTCTGAAATTTTTATTAAAATTTTTGAAATTTCAACAAGTATAGCGACAAAAATGATATATTATAATTCAAACGTATATATTAAAATATATTTTTCACTTCATTTCGTCCGTTATAACAGTATTTTTCTACATCAATGTTTTTTTCTCACAAATCAAAAAACCATTGTGATTATCACTTTGTGGCGGATAATTATTTTAGTGAGTTTCAAGTCTCGAATGAAATATTATAATTGTAATCGTCAATAGTATTCATGAAATTAGTGGTTAAATAACATACATATTTGTAAGATTAAAAAATCCAATAAGTTTATGATGGAATTGATAACTGAAAAAATTAAAGATAGTCATATTTTTCCAATAATTTTTACAATAATGCTAAGAAATCTTTTGTACTTGGCCTAAATCACTCATGTACCCTAAAATGGGATACTTTGTTTCACAAAAGCAAGTCAGATGTTAAATGACTCAATAGTTATGTACTACTTTGTGATGAATAGTTTCATTGTCTTGTTGAAGACTATAGTTCCTGAATGCGATAAATAGCCGACATTTTTATGTAAGATAGCAAAGAGAAACAAAGGAATTTCCTTATTATTTCTTTTGAAAAAAATTTTTTTTAACGTTAACAAGTACACGATTTCACAGCTTGTAATCATTTTAATACTAAAACAATATTACCATGAGAAAATAATTGCTTTTACAAAACAATGTACTTGTTAATTTGACTTTGTATGATTTATAAACGCTCAAAAATAACATAAAAATCACGAAGCAATCGACGATATCTCAAAGTGCGATTATTTAGTTGAAAAATAATTTCATTAATTTCGGAGTTTTCGCCAAAAAGTTACAAATGCTCAAAGCTTACATAGCAACGTAATCTAATGAATATTCTTTCGTCTTATCACTTTGCCTAATCACATTTGAATCTGCTCAAGGCACTGTATACAGGTACACATTATTCCGTCCAACAGAGTTATTATACCTATGTCTCTTTGATTTTTCTCGAAAATGAGTCACTCTCACCATACATTCCGTAAATTAACTTTGAGAACTTTGTGTTCGTCACGTTCAGCTCGGAAAATCCTCTTGGCAAACATCGAAAGACCGTCCCAAAGCTCTTTCCCCTTGGGGCACCCGAAATTCCCGGGGCCTCACGCACAAAGAGTCCCCCCCCCCGCACATATACTTACACACACATTCACCTAAACGCACCAACCAACTCTCTCACTCTCCCGAGGCAATAACATCATAGTTTACAATCTTTCGCTCCGACACAAGTATATATTATGAGTAACTCACTCCGCGGGGCGCAAAGCTGCACGCAAAACACCAGCGCGTTTGTTTCACCCTCCCCCCCACCCCCTTCACCGTATATGCTTTTATAGTATAACTGTAGTTAGATGTGCACGAGCCTAGCACCACCAGACACACGAGTGCTGCACGGCACACAGTGAGAAAGAAAGACGGACGGACCTCCCCCTTGCAGCACGAGCCGCGGCAGTTCCGAGGCTTCGGCCATGTTTGCTCTCTCGTCGACGACGGTGGTGGTGGTGGCTGTTGCAGATTACATATATACGTATGACATTCTGCGGCTCTCTTCCTCAACGTCCCCTGGTTACAACGCACGCGACATACACCGTAATGCGTGCATTGGTCTCGAGGGCGCTGCACCGCGTGCTGATTTCCCGTTCCTTCCTCGTGCCTGCCGACCCCAGCCTGCACGGGGTAGTTTTTTCATCACCGTAAGTGATCGTTTCCTCTCCCTTCTCCAAACCTTCTTACGTACTCTCGTAGCACTGTTGCCCGCATCTTTAATATCCATTGGGGGGGGGGAGGGGGGATATCACGTGGCGCGCGAGTGTGTATACACATGCATGAACGACGAGGAGCTTTTTCGTGCGTGAGAACCCCTCCTACGACCCCCCGCGCGTGTACGCACGCATGTATGTGTGTATCGGGCGATTCATCGCACTCGTGATTAGCGCGCCTACGCACATTATTATCTTCCGGACAGCGGATGAGGGGCCGAGAGAAAGAGAGCTTGCTTCGATGTCCGGAAAAAAAAAAAGAAAAGTAGATTCCACGGAATGAACTCGTGACCGGGCAGAGCACGCGAATTTCGTTCTCGACAATCGTTAAGGTTTAACAAGTAGGTATATTGGTCGCGTGACGGCGTGGTTGGATTTGATTGGTAGAAACGGAGGAGGAAAAATCGGGACTCGGCGTAACCGATCTCCGATGAGTAAATACGCGATTATCCGCACTCGCATGGTTCGCTCACTCGGCTCAAGGAACAAAAAAGCCTCTCCCGACTCGCACAACTGTCTAACCGTTGGAGTCCTCTTTTATTGTTTCATTGGGGCGAAGGAAAAGAAAAAAAAGCACGATCGGTTCGGCACGCGGAAAACCAATGGCTTCGCTACTTACTTACGAGATATAGATACAGGTCGGCTCGGGAGGAACGAGGGAGCACGTAGTACTTAATCCGCGAACACGACGTTAGCGACGAAACGAGCGGGGCCCAACTGTTCTCCCTTTATTTTACAAAAGCAGTGCTGGTAGCGCCGAGGGAACGGAAAGACCGAGTATAAGCTCGCGCGCGCCGTTTCGGGGGGACGACATCCCTCCTCTCTTTCTCGCTCTCGCTTTAGTAAGTTTTAGTTGTGCATATACCTATATAGGCTCTCACGGACAGCTGCGCACTGGCTATGTTCCCAAGCTTGCAACGCTGGTACCCATATATACTTGCACCCGTGTGTACGTGTATACACATGTAGGCATGTACAATGTACATAGATGCGTAAGTGGTGCGATGAAAGAGAAGGACGGGAGAAACGGTAAAATGGAACGGAGGGGCGGCCTCCGCGCACGCGATATATTATATTTGAAAAAGCTTGGATACGACTGAGTGTATTATTACAGCACGCGGCACCCGAATCGCCCTCTCCCTCATACGCGTTTACCACACTCGGGGGGTGGGGGTTCTATTCCATTTTCTGCCCCTCTACCTGTGCCGCCGATTTCACCCCCGCAGCCCTCTATACGGTCCACCACCCCCGTCTGAAGCATCCCTACGCTATCCTTTCAATGTCCACTACTTTTGATTGCGCCCAACACTTTGCCATTTTTTCCGTGTCTCATAGGTACGGATGCCATATTTCATCATCAGCTATTTTTTCTTTTTTTTTTTTCTGCTTTCTTTGTTCTTACACCTTTGGCTTCGTTAACGGATAACATTCTCGAAGAAAGGAAATGAAGAACAAGTTGTTTGTTGACGTTATCGAGGGAGGACATTGTTTTCGGCTTGGTTGGTATAAATGATTGTTGAAACTTAAATGAATCCCGAGAAAAGTATTTTCAACGTTTCCGTAAGAGGCACGTTCTTCCAAATGAATCATTCTCGGTACGACGACAAACTGTGACAAACTTTTTGACCCGATTTATGGAGAGAAAAACCAATTGTT